TTACAAACAATGCCACTTCAACACCAATGAAACATCACCTCGTCTTACAAAAGCATCTGTATGATGTCAACACCCTGCAGGCTCAAATGTTCTACTCGTACATACATGTGATGAGCTTCATACATATTCAGCCTCCTAACTTGACAGCCACTTCTAAGAGCAGACAAAAGGCCGTTGGTTCTGCTCCGCGTGGCGGTTTGTGAAGGGGGAATATCACACGCTTCCCTTGATGATTATATAGCTCTATCCATCTGTCTGCCACTGGAGAGGGGGGACGAGCTACAGCTCCCACCGTCACCATAAACAAAAGTAGATGGTGCTGTCACCAGTCAGACACGCCAGCTAATTGGAGCTGTCGACAGGCATAATATTCTGTGTCCACAGCTCTAGAAACAGTTTGAAGCAGCAATGATATGGTGGTTGATGGTAAGGATGGCACAAGTGTCTCTACTCACAAGCTAGAAATGACATAATGAGAAAAGAATCACTCATATACGCCTCCTAGCCCCTGGTGCTCTGCCGAGATCTTTCTCTGGATTGCTTCCTAGGCTGACAGCTTAATATGATACTCATAATGTCGAACTTTAAAATTAATCTTGCTAAAAAGATATGTTTCAATGAGCTACCAAGACTTACTCTTTTGGGAAATTAATAAGAAAAATGCCCCTTATTCGTAGAGCTTCACCAAGTAGATACCGAAAGAAGAGGAGAGTATTTCATGAATTTGGTACTTAAGTACCTATGGATTCATGGTGACATTCAGGAAAGTAATTCTACAATTAAATGTTTGCACATGCTTGTGGATATGGCTTATTGCTGAATATCCCTTCTTGTTGGACAGAGCAGGCTCAGACTAGAAGGCATTTGACAAGCCTTCGTTACATCAGTGTATGTCATACACTAACACGAATGCTCCCACCATAGTTACAGCAATGAGTCTCAGGAGGGTTCTTGCTGCTTCCTAATAGTTTGCTCAGCTTCAAAATTATCTCATGACTTCATCACAGAGGTTTGGAGTTTCGCTCAGCCACTGCCTTGTTTCAACATGTTGGTTAGCCTCTCTTTGCTTCCAAACTCCATAAGGCAGATGTAGTACTGGTTTCTCTATATGTGATTAAGAGATTGTTAATAGATCAATGCATAGATCAGTGCGGGCATGTCACAGTGAGAAACGACTACATAGTTCTCTTATTGTTGTTATCATTGTTAGGGTGATCTATGATCCATTTCCAATGAGAGCCTTTAATAATTAATCAAAGTAAAAACTGTAAATAACAAAGCTTAAAGGTTTGCAAGGCTGTCAAGAGAGGCAGACTTGAGCACTTGAGAAAGTTCCTAACATGTACGCCTGTTTCCTGTAAGGATTAAGGAGAACAGTAGCCTCAGTAGATATTTTAAGGATGTGAGGTGATGCACTCAAGACATGGACTCAAGACATCCAGTCCATGGGCTGTAAGAAGTGTTAATGCTGTACATTAGAGGGCTTGTCCTTTTGTACCACTAAACTCGCTTCTGTCCTCATTAATTCTGGGAAGTAAAACACAACCCTGACTTCACAATGGAAGGATGGGGCCACTGGTGGGAAAAAGAGGCCAGTGGGCATGGAGCAAAGTTGTACATAGCTGGGCAGTGGTGGCACATGCCTTTAATCCCAGCACCCAGCACCTGGGGGGCAAGAGACAGGTGGATCTCTGAGTTCAGGGCCAGACTGGTCTACAGAGTGAGTTCCAGAATAGCCAGGGCTACAGAGAAACCCTGTCTCGAAAGAAGAAAGAAAGAAAGAAAGAAAGAAAGAAAGAAAGAAAGAAAGAAAGAAAGAAAGAAAGAAAGAAAGAAAGAGAGAAAGAGAGAAAGAGAGAAAGAGAGAAAGAGAGAAAGAGAGAAAGAGAGGAAGAGAGGAAGAGAGGAAGAGAGGAAGAGAGGAAGAGAGGAAGAGAGGAAGAGAGGAAGAGAGGAAGAGAGGAAGAGAGGAAGAGAG